CAAAATGCTTTACATAAAGCAAACAATAATAAAATAGAATGAAAATAAAAGCAATTACAGATTAAAAAAATTATAAAAGCAGGTAGTAAAGCAAACTGTTTGACCACAAACTAAAACTAATGATACATCAATTAATACTTTAACATTCAGAGGCAGTTTTTAACTTTGACCTAAAATGAGAGGAGAAGGAACATTAAAAAAATATATCAGAAAGTATGATATGGTATGATCTTGGTAAGTCCAAAACAACACCATTTTATAACCTGAAAGGATTTTAATTTGTATAAGACGGGGGTAAAATGATGGTGATCGCAGCAATATGGTTTAGCAAACAAAAAAGGGCAAACATTTATGGAAAATAATTTGCCTAAATTCAAATATATGTTAAAGTTTCTTTAGTAGAATAGGGTAATAGAATTGTTAGCAGGCTTGGGGTCAATTAAATTACAAGATACAATCAATATTTTATTTAATATTTTGTAAATTAACTTTTATTGACCTTTAAACTGTGTTTTTCAACTTTGATGGGGGGACGAATTAAAAGGCACTAAAACAGACAGAGGATTGATCTATAAGTACAGTAGTAGCCATTGAAAATGTCCACACTCTCCTTGATGGGTCCTTGGTTGGTCCTTGGCTGGTCCCCTACAATTCCTTTTTAAACATCGCTCTTTGTTCTAAAATATTCTTTCTGTCATGATTTATGGACATTAAGGTCTAAAGAGAAGCATCATCTCCTGGTCAGATCCTGTAATTTGGTGAAAGGGTGGAATCAGAGTAAAAAAATTTGCACGCCCAGGAGGAGGTCGGAGGCTGGAAGTTGGAGGGGATTTTGATGGGAGTTGCAGGGAAGCGGGCCGTCATTTGTCTGGTGTTTGACTGTAAAGGGCCATTTTGAATGGCTGCTACTGTATAGATCTGTTGATCAATTTATACTGCTAGGTACAATTAGCTTCACAAATAAATATACAGAAAAAGAAACAAGTGCGAATGTCCAAAATGGTTAATAATATTAGAACCTATTATGATTGATTAAACCAACAAAAATTTATAAATAAATAGAGAAAGAAAAACACCCCCATGCAGAATGAAATGTGTCCCTCATGGCAGTGCGAGCAGCTGGAGCAGGACAAGCTTCTGCAGGGAAGAAACTATTTCCAGATCAGCAAAGCAAAAACTGCTTCATGTCGCACCAACACAAAGCCACAATTGCTTTCCATATTTCATCATTATGTGAATTTGTGCATCATTGCTGTTAGCTCCACACAGAAAACTGATTGGTAAAAGCATTTCAGAAATAAGATGTTTTCACTACAGTCAAAGCTGCAAATCTACAAATTAATTTCCTGATACTGCTGGCATTTCAATCTGAAAAACTCACACCGAAACAAAAGCACAATTAGAAGAATTTTATTGATACAATTATCTTAAGACTTTGGCGCTCAGACCTCGGCAGGAAAAAATTAGCGCTGAATTTTACTTTAATATGCATAAGCAGGTCTATGAGAACAGCAATGTTTCCCTCAAGGCCTGAAACTGGTAGTGGAGTAGAGATAGATGAGTCGTGGATTTGATGACCTTTTAAGATGACCTCTGGATGCTGATTGGGCTTTGTGGAGGTGCAGCTCAAAGCTGATTGGTTTGCATCAGAGGCAGGTGAGTCTCTGATGAGGGTGGGTTATTTAGTTTCCACTGTTGAACTTCCGCTTAATCTATAGAAGTTTACTGTGCAAAATACTGTAAGACTAAATAAATTACACAGTATGTCACACCTCAAACTACTTTGAGAGAAATTACGTTAATAAATCAAATCATATCCTGTGACAGATGCTGCAATAATGACTAATATAAGGCAATAAGCTTGGCTGTTTTCTAGAAGTCATAGAGTGTGGGCAACAGTAGAAAGAAAAAAAAAACAAGGTTAAATCAGGAAAAGAAACACTCAGATCCCCTAAGCAGGGCTATTCCTCACCTTAATATGACATTATCCATTTGATATGTTGTTAAAAAAAGAAAAAAAATCAATCAGGGTGTTTGATTTTTAATTGATCTCATGTCCAATAACCATAGATACAGAAAGCTAATGGGGATTGCTAGTGACGGTCAGATACCAGGCTAACTAATATTATCATTGCATATTTTGTTTCTCGCTGAATAAATATTGTCATTTAAGTTGTCTGGAATACTTAAGGGTTTAACAAACAAATCAGGAAATGGGCCAAAAACTTTTCTCACCTCTGTTTTCTGTTGAAAGGGTCATTATCAAGTAGTAAATGTCAGGTATTTTAATGAAATTATAACCAAGAAAAGCAAACCTCTTGGTAAAGCTACAATAGATTTTCAACAGTCATTGTTTCCATCATCAGTGTGTATTATATCATAATCACAAACAATCTAGATGGAATTTCCAATATAGGGTAAAACATTCAATACTAGTTTGATTTCTGCTCCAAATACCAAAAGCAGAGATTTGTTTTGCTGTTGATTTTCACACCTGGACATCATGATGACAAGATTAATGAACCTTAATATTGATTATTGATATTCAATTAAGTTATATAGCTAATATAAAACACATCAAGTTGACCGAACAGCTTTACAAGTTGACCAAACATCAATGAAAAATAAAAATACAGAATAAAACTGTTAGTAAAATATCATAAAATATAAGGAAGCCAAAAAAAGAACTGAATTTCTAAAATCTCCTCCGATGATGATGGAAAAAATCTTGCTAGAATGTAATGATAACATTGCAATTACATGCACTGCTACTTTGTGGAAGAACCTGAACATACCATTTGTAATGTTCTGTATTCCAGCAAGGTTTTTCACCCATACTTCTGACCAGACATCTGCTGTGATTTATAATTTAAAAGGCAGGTAAGAGTGCAACAGAAAGTGAGAAATACAGCGAACATCTGTGTAGCCCAGAGCCACTGACCTGAATAACTTGCTTGGCTATTAGCACTATATTAACTGAGGTATAAAAGGTATTCTATTGAACTTATTTGTTGTTAACCAATCTTTTTGTATTTTTATGGTTTCATAACAAAAAATTTAAAGCAACTTAGAGTAATTCAGATTTATTTAAACTATGTTAAAATTTTAAGAACAAGACTATTTAAAAAGGTTTCTGTTATGTCTCTTTGGCCTTTGAAAATAATACATGTGCCATCTTTCAGGGACAGGCAATTAAGTCAAATACAACATATTAAAATTCCTTTCACTGTTGTCTATTTTTTTTTCTCCAGTTACATGCACTCTTTCCTGTCTCTGTCTCTCTTTCTCTCACCCCTTAGTTCTGATCCCCTCTTTTTCTCATCTCTCTTTCCATCTAAGTGTCTGTTCCAGACGATTTTACTCCTTAAATAACTTTCTATAAAGTTTCATAAACAAGTACCAAGCAAAACCTTATGGCAACAGTCCTAATGGTCTGCTGGTGAAAGCAAGGTTGTAGGGCAATCATCTAGATCTAG